TTTTGCAAAGTCTGTGTATATTACATCTGCAATCTGATTTTCTTCCAGTGCATCCAAGGCCATGTCATAGTGATCCAGTAGTGATCCCTCCTGTGTTGAAGGCTCTGCCTCTCTCTGAACATCTGGGAAAGTAAAATGAGGCTGGGACAGTGACGGGAGGCTGGGAAAGTGACGGGAAGTGACGCACAGACACCACTAAGACGAGAGGATCAAGGAAGTTTGCTGATAAAAGTCTTCTCGGCTAATCAGAGAGCGCCATTGAGACGAGGAGGAGAGGGAGGGAGGAGAGAGGGAGAGAAGAGAGAGAAGGAAGAAGCAGGGAGAAGAGGGAAGAGAGAGAGGGAAGGGGGAAGACGGAGGGAGGAGAGGGAAGACAGGAGGAAAAGAGAGGAGAAAGGAGAGAGAAGAGAGTAGAAAGGGAAGAAGGAGTAGAAAGAAGAGGGAGAAGGAAGAAAAAAAAAGATGGAGAAAAGAGAGAGGGAGGAAAACGAAAAGGGTAGAGGGAAGAGACGAAGGAGAAAGATGACAAAATAGAAAGGAGAAGAGAGACTGAAGAAGAGAAGAGATGGAATAGTGACAGAAGCAATGAGAAAGAAGAGGCGGGATGGAAAGTTGAACTGAAGGGGAAAAGACGCAATAAAAAAAAGGGTAGAAGAGAAACAGGAAGATGAGATGGTGTATAGAGAAAAATATCAGATCAGATGAGTAGGAGGGAAGGAGCGAGAGAGAAGAAGCAAAGGGAAAGATAAATAAAAAAATAGAAATATGAAGGAAGCGGGAGAAAAAGTTGTGAAGGAATGAAAGAAGGAAAGAAGGGAGATGGGAAGGAAGGAAAAGAAAGAATTGAAGGAAATGAAGGAGGGAAGGAAAGAAGGAAGAAATGAAGGAATGGAAGGAAGGTAAGAGGGTTAATCAGATAACACAGCAGAAATTTCTCCTATCAAGGTTATTTTGGGGATCATTTGAAGACGTCTCACTGAGACCTCAGGGAAACTTGACTCATTATTGGGAAGGAGGAAAGATGGAAGAGTGAATGGAATGAGTGAGAGTAATGAAGAGACGGGGGGTAGAGAATAGAAGATTGAAGAACAAAGGCAACACTTGTTTTGATGTCAATGATTTAGAAAACCGACAAGTTGAAGATTGAGACACCTGTGCAATCAGTCCATCAAAATTGATGGATTGAGGGACTGATTACCTCAAACTCCTCCTCGTCTTCCATCTTTCTCTGTATTGGACTGACGAAGCCACTGGCTATACAAGTGTTTCATTCTTCAACATTTATTTCATCTACTAAATGTAGATTCAGCAGCAGTGTGTTGTTACTTATTCTGTGATACCTTTGAAATGCCTTTGATGAGTTTCGAAAGTCTTGCTACTCCCGGAGCCCGACCATGGGCCAGGCTTGTCTCGTGCTAGCCTGGTCAACCAGGCTGTTATTCCTGGAGGTCCACTGCCCCGCAAATCCATCACAGCCTGTTTGATCTGGCACCTGGTAAACGATCGCTGTATTTGTTCTAAGTCAAACATTTCTCCAGCCCTGAACGGGTCCGTCTGAACAATGACAATTTCAAGATTAGATGATAGTTGCATACTGAAGGCGAAAACTAGCTGAAGTTACCACCTGTTACATGCCATCACAAAAGGTGGATTTTGTACATGTTGAAATCTGTGAGCATGAGATGCGAGATTTCCCTAAGGTACTGAAGATATCGTAAAATTTTCCGTAAGGCAGAGAAGATATCGTCAAGTTCTCCGTAAGGCAGTGAAGATATCGTAAAATTTTCCGTAAGGCAGAGAAGATATCGTCAAGTTCTCCGTAAGGCAGTGAAGATATCGTCAAGTTCTCCGTAAGGCAGTGAAGATATCGTAAAATTTTCCGTAAGGCAGAGAAGATATCGTCAAGTTCTCCGTAAGGCAGTGAAGATACCGTCAAGTTTCCGTAAGGCAGAGAAGATATCGTCAAGTTCTCCGTAAGGCAGTGAAGATATCGTCAAGTTTTCCGTAAGGCAGAGAAGATATCGTCAAGTTTTCCGTAAGGCAGAGAAGATACCGTCAAGTTCTCCCTTTACTGGCATAGATAATACTGGAGCTTCAAAGGTCTAATTCCACACGAGCTGCAATTACCATCTCTTAGGACTTTCTCGTACACAAGAGAAAGGAATTTTTGTAGGACATCGCCACAGTCTCAGATGCATACCTGTGGTATACCTTTGATGAATTCCCAGAGTTTTTCTTCTCCCGGAGCAAGGCCATGGGCCAGGCTCGTCTGTTGCTGTTGGTGGCCCGCTGCCCCCACATATCCATCACAGCCTGATTGATCTGGCACCTAGTGAAGATACTTGTCCCAGCAGTGTTCCCGATATCTTCTGGTAACAAAACTTACACAGAAGAGAGAAAAGAAAAAAAGAATAAAGTCACACACAGACATGGGACCAATACAGATTTCTTTTTACAACAGCCTCCCGATATTTTAAAACTGTTATATGCCTTAGAGTGCATATTGGCACTAGCTTCACAACAACCAGCTTGATCATCGTGAACAAACCACTTCACCAATCGTGAACAAAACTCACTATCAAGATATTTGATTGTCTATGTAAATTATGTAATAGCTTCAATTTTCTGTGATAATCTGGCGTTTACAAGTTCTTGGTGCATGATGTCCAGAGTTGTGCGTAGGATTTTGTACGTGAGGAAAAGTGCGATAATTCTTCGTGAGTGAGAGAGAGAGAGAGAGAGAGAAGAGAGAGAGAGAGAGAGAGAGAGAGAGAGAGAGAGAGAGAGAGAGAGAGAAAGTTAGGAATCCTTAACCTGTAAATAGCTTGTCAATAAAGCTAGGGATCCTTAACATAACCTTGTCAAACCCTGTGTAAAAGAGAGAGAGAGAGAGAGAGAGAGAGAGAGAGAGAGAGAGAGAGAGAGAGAGAGAGAGAGAGTTATTGTCTACAGGAGCAGCACTGTGTTAAGGGGTTACCGAATCTTCAATAATCTTTCCTCCATTTTGTGCGTGTAAAAAAAAATCTATCATCCTTATGGTTCCATTTTCTCTTTAAATTTACAACTTTAGCTCAGTTTTTTAAATCGCTGTCGAAATAAATAAAAATCTAGGTCTATTGTTTAATGTCGTTTTATGAGCGAGTTTACATTTCCTCTTTTGCCGTCATTATTGTATCTGCTTGGTGCTATAACCGGCGCTAAACCCGTAAGGGTGTGACCGGGAAAATGGGGTAACCATGTTTTTAATCCGAAGGAAGAATAGCATCAGTGCCTCAGAACAAGATTTTTTTCCCACCAGCATCAAGGCTGATTGTCCGTGTGTCCGCTCGTTTATCCGTCTGTGCCTGTGTCCGCTTATATATCCGTCTGTGCCTGTGTCCGCTTATATATCCGTCTGTGCCTGTGTCCGCTTATATATCCGTCTGTGCCTGTGTCCGCTTATATATCCGTCTGTGCCTGTGTCCGCTTATATATCCGTCTGTGCCTGTGTCCGCTTATATATCCGTCTGTGCCTGTGTCCGCTTATATATCCGTCTGTGCCTGTGTCCACTTATATATCGTCTGTGCCTGTGTCCGCTTATATATCGTCTGTGCCTGTGTCCGCTTATATATCGTCTGTGCCTGTGTCCGCTTATATATCGTCTGTGCCTGTGTCCACTTATATATCGTCTGTGCCTGTGTCCACTTATATATCGTCTGTGCCTGTGTCCGCTCGTGTATCCGTCTGTGCCTGTGTCCACTTATATATCGTCTGTGCCTGTGTCCGCTTATATATCGTCTGTGCCTGTGTCGGCTCGTGTATCCGTCTGTGCCTGTGTCCGCTCGTGTATCCGTCTGTGCCTGTGTCCGCTTATATATCGTCTGTGCCTGTGTCCGCTCGTGTATCCGTCTGTGCCTGTGTCCACTTATATATCGTCTGTGCCTGTGTCCGCTTATATATCGTCTGTGCCTGTGTCCGCTCGTGTATCCGTCTGTGCCTGTGTCCGCTCGTGTATCCGTCTGTGCCTGTGTCCACTTATATATCGTCTGTGCCTGTGTCCGCTTATATATCGTCTGTGCCTGTGTCCGCTCGTGTATCCGTCTGTGCCTGTGTCCACTTATATATCGTCTGTGCCTGTGTCCGCTTATATATCGTCTGTGCCTGTGTCCGCTCGTGTATCCGTCTGTGCCTGTGTCCACTTATATATCGTCTGTGCCTGTGTCCACTTATATATCGTCTGTGCCTGTGTCCACTTATATATCGTCTGTGCCTGTGTCCGCTTATATATCGTCTGTGCCTGTGTCCACTTATATATCGTCTGTGCCTGTGTCCACTTATATATCGTCTGTGCCTGTGTCTGCTCATGTATCCGTCTGTTCTTGTGTCCGCTCATTTATCCATCTGTCCTTGTTATTACGAATTTGTTCGGCTTTTTCTTTGTAATTCGGTGATTTTCAGCTGTTTATGTTATGCGTGCGTCTTTTGTTATTTGTTTGTGCGTAGCTGTTGTTGTTTGTTGACAGAGTAATGTAAAGTATTTTTCTTCATGAGTCTATATTTTCACCTCTAGATTTTCGTATTCTGACCTCCAAAAAAATGTTAGTGTTTTAAATTGAAGATTTAACAAAACTGCGAATAAAATCAAAATTTTTCTTTCTTAAGTCTTTTCAATCTTTATTTTGTGTGTATGTATATATATATATATATATATATATATATATATATATATATATATATATATATATATATATATATATATATATATATATATATATATATAAAGCCTGAAGAAGACACGCTGTAAAACGTTTCACTATGTAGAGCGAAACGTTGTCACACTGAAAGCCTCGTTTCTTTATTCAATATTATACATTTTTTTTCTTTACGTCATCGGCTCTTCACAATTTTTTTTTTTTTTTTTGGCTGGTTACAAATTTTCGTAAGACAAACCATTGTCGTTTTACAAGAAATAATTCCGCTATTTTCTATAAGGCAAATAATAAGAATTATTTTATTCCAGGTAAATCTAGTAATTTTGAGAATTTGTATATCGTGAGGAATGAAACGAAGAGTTTTATGATATATGAAACTGTGGAAAACATCTCTATTTTGAAGGAAAAAGACGTATTTATAAACAATATCAGTGACGTCAAAGGATGTCTCGAGTGCTGTGATTTGTGGCAAAGAACATCGGCTACACCTAAAGTGGCCTCAGCTGAAGTTTAAGTGGCGTTTATCGTATTTGAAAAGGCGTCCACCGCAATTTAAGTGGCAGCTTTCTCAGTTAAAGAAGTGTGGTGATAGTTTCCTAATTATTTCCATAATGATGCTGTCTTAAACAAGTGCCAGTGGAGTGAGAGTGCCGTCGCGTCTCACTGTGATTAGCGTTCAGCGAGCGAGATTGCACAGGGTGAGATCAGCGTGTCAAAGTGAGATTAGGCAGTTTTTAAGGCGTTCATTGGTAGCTCTCAGACTAAGGAAGGGGTATGTCATGCTGTGAAGGGGATGAGGCTGGGTGAGGTATACCAGAATACCACTTCCTATCTAACCTATCTCTTCATCTAGTCCCCGGGTGAATGTACAGGTTATCTTGTAGCCCCTAACCAGCACCTGTCTATCCTCTAGCGTACGAAACCTCCTCAACCTGTTCCAGTGCAACACAACCTTGTCTCCAGACATGCCCTGAAGCGGGTAGCCAAGGGTAGAGGTCTGGGACCACTCGTAATATCCTTCGCAGCATGAGGGCCGGTCCCACGCCAGGCCTGAGGCACCCAACCCCTCACCATGGTGCCTGAGCCGCCCACCACCCACACGATGATCAGGTAGAGTGGGCGTTGCTATGGCGACGCCGCGACCGACGGTGGGCGGCGGCAAGGAGAATCTACACAAAAGCAGCAGCGATTCTGTGCGTCGATATCGTCACCGCGTGAGGAGCCGAGGCTCACCTGTCTCCAGGTGCTTTCTCAACCTCGATGGCTACAACTATGTTATAGGTGAGTCTCAGGTGTTATAGGTGAGTATTAAGAACCTTCTCAGATATTGTAGGAGAGTATTAAGAACCTTCTCAGGTATTGTAGGAGAGTATTAAGAACCTTCTCAGGTATTGTAGGTGAGTATTTAGACATTTTACAGGTCTTAAATGAGAGTCTTACAGCCTATAAACCTTTTTAGGTGTTATAAACAAGTGTTGGATACTACAAGCCTCCTTGAAGGTGTTATAGGTGAATCTTTAGGTACTACAAGACACGTCTTAGGTGGCATAGGTGAATCACAGGTCTTTCAGTATATCACAGGACCTGTAAGCGAGACTGCAAAGGCGATGACCTTGAGGTGACCTGGAGCTGAGCTGCAACACTCTTGCAGTTGAGCTGAGGTGACCTGGAGTGAAGTATCAGTCTTTCCAGGGAAGGCTAGACTTCGATATGTCTACTTTAGTTCAATGTATAATTTCTTTTATCTTGTAGCCGGGGGTGGACGAGGGTGACGGGGCTTCTGATAGTGTTCATGATTGTCTCTTGTTTCTTTCCGTTTGTCTCTCTGTATGTCCATCTCTCTTATTTTTCATGAACTAACGGCTTGTCTGGCTGTTTTGGTGTCTGTGTTTTGTGTGTGTGTGTGTGTGTGCTCACCTATTTGTACTCGCCTATTTGTGGTTGCAGGGGTCGAGTCTTAGCTCCTGGCCCCGCCTCTTCACCGGTTGCTACTGGGCCCTCTCTCTCCCCGCTCCATGAGCTTTATCAAACCTCGTCTTAAAACTGTGTATGGTTCCTGCCTCCACTACGTCATTTTCTAGGCTATTCCACTGCCTTACAACTCTATGACTGAAGAAATACTTCCTACTATCTCTCTGACTCATTTGTGTCTTCAACTTCCAATTGTGGCCTCTTGTGTGTGTGTGTGTGTGTGTGTGTGTGTGTGTGTGTGTGTGTGTGTGTGTGTGTGTGTGTGTTCGTTCATTGCAAACTTACTTTTCATCAGCAACATTCCTCGCTGTAATCCAGATCTTGAAGATGCGTACAAAACAAATACGTAAGAAAATACTTCTTCATTCTGAATGATGAAGTACAGGAAGAAGATTCTATACACAGTTTTACAAGTAGGACTCGACTCCAGCGACTATAGCTGGGCCAGTTCGGCTAGGAAATGTATTTTGTGACACAACAGTCTGCATGATCAACTTTAACAATGCAGAGAGATTTATAGTAATATTAAAACAGGATTTTTTTAAATAGCCAGTGTTTGAAAATTAACTGTCCATAGAGAATAGTATTAAACACAGACAGATGGACAGGTACACACAGCTAACGTCGCCCCTCACAGCACTGGAAGAACGAAGGAACAGACATGACCACGACATACACAACTAGCTGGGGAAATTAGACAGGATGAACACGGACTTGTCGATTACCAAGCGAAGGGAAGACATAACGAGAACACCCAGAAGAGTCATATAGTTCAGGAACATCCTGAAGAATCATAGTTCAGGAACATCCTGAAGAATCATAGTTCAGGAACATCCTGAAGAATCATAGTCGAGGCTACAATACTTAACACGATTCCCGTCAGCCAACAGAACGGGTGAGAGTTTTTAATTTGGATTTCTCATTATACAGACAAATATTTTGGGATTTTCTCACTTCTTAAACTGATTTTATATTAATTTCGTTTTTTTTTTTTGTTGTGTCTTAAATTCTCCAGGTAAGTTCTATTCCTTTATTGGGACCTTTGTGGTCCTCCCTATTTTCTTTTAAATTTTCTTTCATATATTTTTATTTTTATCTTCGCCAGATACACATAATATACAAATCATGTTTCTACGTTAATTCTTTCGTCCAAATGATAGACGGTAAAGTAGACAGGACGGTTTTCCAGGTGTCTAAATGGCGTATGAATGTCAATAGTGAAAAAAAAAAACTCTTAAATACCTGCTTTCACTAGTACAACGTTTCTCTCTGCCTAGCATCATATTTGACTATGATCATGAGCATCATAATAGTAACAGTATGATCATGAGCAACATAATAGTAACAGTATGATCATGAGCATCATAATAGTAACAGTATGATCATGAGCATCATAATAGTAACAGTATGATCATGAGCAACATAATAGTAACAGTATGATCATGAGCATCATAATAGTAACAGTATGATCATGAGCAACATAATAGTAACAGTATGATCATGAGCAACATAATAGTAACAGTATGATCATGAGCAACATAATAGTAACAGTATGATCATGAGCATCATAATAGTAACAGTATGATCATGAGCAACATAATAGTAACAGTATGATCATGAGCATCATAATAGTAACAGTATGATCATGAGCAACATAATAGTAACAGTATGATCATGAGCAACATAATAGTAACAGTATGATCATGAGCATCATATAGTAACAGTATGATCATGAGCATCATAATAGTAACAGTATGATCATGAGCATCATAATAGTAACAGTATGATCATGAGCATCATAATAGTAACAGTATGATCATGAGCAACATAATAGTAACAGTATGATCATGAGCATCATAATAGTAACAGTATGATCATGAGCATCATAATAGTAACAGTATGATCATAAGCAACATAACAGCAACAGTATGATCATAAGCAACATAACAGTAACAGTATGATCATGAGCAACATAGTAACAGTATGGAGTTTCACCAAGTCATCAAGCCTTGATTAAGGTTGTTAATTAAGGTTGTTGATTAAGTTGTCCCAATAAAAGCTTGTTTTCCAACCTGTCTCTTCTCTTCCCAAGCAACGTCTAACACTTTATTTTGACTCTTGCAATATCTCTCGGGACGTAATATTTAGGTTACAGAAGACAACTTTATACTGGTCCACTTGAATTGCTGTCACAGTACCAAGCCATGTAATGAGAGGTACCACTTACACTCAAAACTGAAACACTGGTAAGAAAGATCTGAATATTTCAGCCTCATAAACCCGCTGACTGAAGCAGAACGTCCCTGAGGCAGAACGTCCCTGAGGCAGAACGTCCCTGAGGCAGAACGTCCCTGAGGCAGAACGTCCCTGACTGAGGCAGAACGTCTCTGACTATGACAATGTTCCTGACTAAAGCAGAACATCCCTGACTGAAGCAAAACGTCCATGACTGAGGTATAACGTCTGACCGAGGTATAACGTCTGAACCACTAATCGGTCTGAGGATCGACGACCCAAATGATTTCTTCATGAATGAGCCTCAAAACTCCATAAATGTATGCCAGATTTCCGACATTACCCTAACTCCGATAGATTTCGAAAAAGCCACTGACAACATGCCTATGCACTCAGCCCCGGGCCCAGACTCGTGGAACTCTGTTTTCATTAAGAACTGCAAGAAACCCCTCTCGCGTGCCCTAAGTACACTATGGAGGAGGAGCTTGGACATGGGTGAAATTCCGCAGTCACTTAAAACAACGGATATAGCCCCACTCCATAAAGGTGGCAGCAAAGCATTAGCTAAGAACTATAGACCAATACCTCTAACGTCCCACATCATAAAAATCTTTGAAAGAGTGCTAAGAAGCAGGATTGCAAATCACCTGGATTCCCAAAATCTGTACAATCCAGGGCAACATGGGTTCAGGGCAGGTCGCTCCTGCCTCTCACAACTACTGGATCACTATGACATGGCCTTGGATGCACTGGAAGAAAATCAAAATCAGAATGCAGATGTAATATACACAGACTTTGCAAAAGCATTTGACAAATGCGATCATGGCGTAATAGCCCATAAAATACGTGCTAAAGGAATAACTGGGAAAGTGGGGAGATGGATCTTCAACTTCCTAACAAATCGAACACAAAGAGTAGTGGTCAACAGAGTTAAATCGGAGGCTGCCATAGTGAAGAGCTCTGTTACACAAGGCACAGTACTCGCCCCCATCTTATTCCTTATCCTCATATCAGACATAAACAGAGATATACACCACAGCACCGTATCATCCTTTGCGGATGATACTAGGATCTGCATGAGGCTGTCATCTGCTGAGGACGCGGTTAACCTCCAAGAAGATATAAACAAAGTTTTCCAGTGGGCAACGGTAAACAATATGATGTTCAATGAGGACAAATTCCAACTACTCCGTTATGGAAAACTGGAGGAGATAATAACTAGAACAGAGTATACTACTGACTCCGGCCATACAAGAGCGGAAAAATAATGTAAGGGACCTGGGAGTAGTAATGTCTGAGGATCTCACTTTCAAGGATCACAACAGTGCCACGATCGCACGTGCAAAGAAAATGATAGGATGGATAATGAGAACTTTCAAAACGAGAGATGCCAAGCCCATGATGATCCTTTTCAAATCACTTGTTCTCTCTAGGCTGGAATACTGCTGTACATTAACATCTCCATTCAAAGCAGGTGAAATCGCAGATCTAGAGAGTATACAGAGATCCTTTACTGCACGTATAAGTTCTGTCAAGCACCTTAACTACTGGGAACGCTTGGAAGCACTTGACTTGTACTCGTTGGAACGCAGGAGGGAGAGATATATCATAATCTACACTTGGAAAATCTTGGAAGGAATGGTCCCAAATCTGCACACAGAAATCACTCCCTACGAAAGTAAAAGACTGGGCAGGCGATGCAAAATGCCCCCAATAAAAAGTAGGGGCGCCATTGGTACACTAAGAGAAAACACCATAAGTGTCCGGGGCCCAAAACTGTTCAACAGCCTCTCATCAAGCATTAGGGGAATTGCCAATAAACCCCTGGCTGCCTTCAAGAGAGAGCTGGACAGCCGGATCAGCCGGGCTGTGGCTCGTACGTTGGACTGCGTGCGGCCAGCAGTAACAGCCTAGTTGATCAGGCCCTGATCCATCGGGAGTCCTGGTCATGGACCGGGCCGCGGGGGCGTTGATCCCCGGAATAACCTCCAGGTAACCTCCAGGAGGTATAACGTCTGACCGAGGTATAACGTCTGACCGAGGTATAACGTCTGACCGAGGTATAACGTCTGACC